CCCAAGGCCTTGGGTGCTCTGTATCCATCTCCGAAAAGACAATCAGTGAACGACAAAGAATAAGGATTCGCCCGCCACGCTGATAACACCAAAGCAAAATAGAAGGAGGAACACGGCACAACCAGAAGAAAAACTGCTCCGAAGGGTGAAACAGAAACCACCATTGGGAAACTAAAAATACCTATTCCCAATCCTGCAAAGGTCGCTTTATCATGAATAGAATCTGTGATCAAAACCGGTCGGACAGCAACGAGGCATCAAAGGGTACTGTATATTGGGAAGTACGTATCAGCTGATGTCAAGTGTCGTACAGAATATCACAAAAACCGTAATCATGATTAAAGCTTTAGCTAGATGTCATTTCCTAGTGAAGTAATTTGTTGAATTCTGCACTGCCATTCAATGGCAACCATACAAGAAGTTGACGACCGGTTGGTTCTTTGTGCCTCATCGCACATATTCGTTGCTCAGATGTCATCGGACGGATTATCCATAGAAGTCGGTTTTTTTGTGGTCTTGATACCGCCTCTGTCTCCTTTGGGTCTCTATGGCTTTTATTTGCATTGCTTTAGTGTAAGTTCGATGTGAAAGAAGTCTCAGATTCGTTACCTCCACCGCGTAAGGAGAAATGTGAGGAAGGAGAGCAGGAACGCGAGACGAAGAAAATCGACGATGCAAACATCCAGGTACGCTTTCATGGAAATGTAAAGAATTGAACGAACTGGCGTCGTTCAAATTCTTTTAAGTGAGCTTGGGTTTGCTGTTGAATGCAATCCCCGGGGTTAGCTACAGTGTAGGAAAATACCGCGAGAGGAATTGTAGTAACTGTACCTAAAGAGAGCGTACCATGCCCGTCGCACAAATTGCGCGGTTAGGGCGCTAATCGTTAAGGGGCTGCAACCATCGACCCCCTTGCAACGCTTCCCACCCACCGCGATTGATGTGGAGATCAGCGCACTCTCTCGAACGGCGTGCTCTCTCGCGTGTTCTGTCTTCTCTGATCGCTCTGTATCGCGGGGGGGGAGAGGGAGGTGAGGCCTTGATGTCAGCTTTGCCGAATCGCGCGATTCGCTACTTGCGTCGCGGCCAGTGAATCACTCAATTGGCTGGTACCGCAACGCGACCGCGGACGCTAGCGAATCGCGCGAATCGCTAGTAGCGAATCGCGCGATTCGCAAAGTCTGACATCGGCCTTAAGCATTCTGAGCTCACCCATCACTATCATGCGCTCTTATACACCAGTTTTAACACGGCTTGCCTTTAAGACTCATAGTCTTTTCAGCGCACTTTTACAGGTTGAATAGCGAAGTAGGACTCGCTTTGATCACTAAGGTGTAGGTCGCTTACACAGAAAGTGACTTCACTTTTCGCAGAGTGAAACTTTTCTGCCGCGGAAAGCTCAGATTCACTCATAATCAGGTTTGGACTAGGGGTTCTCCAAGCAGAGAAGTTTCACGCTGTGAGAGCGAAAAAGTCGCTGTCTGTCCTAGCGATCCATAGGGATTCTAATATCAGTATGCAGGTACTGTGATATCATGCTGCGACACCTGTGCTAATATGTTCTTTCTATTGCTAATCCATTTCCCCTATTCCAAGCTATCGACGCTGAAGAGGGTTTCACAACTATACTTTAGCGCTCACTGTCGGGTGTGTAGAGTGGGACTCGGGTGTCCGAGGAGAGAGTATTCAACGTGAAAGAGCCACTTACAGCGCTTGGTACAATTTGTTTTTTTTTTTCCTGGCGCTTTTCCTCTCTCCTGGAACTAATCCTAAAGTCATCAACCATCGACGCTGTTTTGAATGTCCATCTTAGCGTCATAAGCGCTGTTCATTCCTGGAACTTTTCCTTGATTAGGTCTAACAGCTGCAGCCAAAAAGCAGAAGTATGAAGAAGATTCTGGATTGTTTATGATGTTGAGAACAAACATTAACAAAAGTATCCGAACAACTGAACCATCCTGAAGGGAGCTGTGAGGCATACTTAGCACATACAGTTGCATAAAGTCACTAACGGTTTTCGAACAATCGCCAGCGCGATAGCTAAAAGTTTCCGGATTGTTGGTCACGAAGAACGTAGATCTCTTTACCCATGCCCCACATGATAAATCGTCGGATCACATCTGTTCAAACGCCCTTTGTTGTCGCTGACGCTGTTGGAAACTACTCCAGCCTTTGAAAAGGTTGAACCAATGTCATTGGCATATCGCGGAGAAATTTTCGGTTCCATGTGAATGCGTGGTAAGGTGCGACTACAAGCCCAATTGAGCGCTAGTTCACATGCGTACTGGATATTAGGGAGATATGTGGGGAAACTTTTTTCAAAACTGCTGCGACGTCGTCATTGTGGTGACTGCAGCTCAGGAGGAAGCTCAAGAGAAAGACAAAAATCTATTTTTTTCTTATTTTTCCAGATTTTGTCTTCTGCGGTGTCAAGTTGTGGATCGTGTGGGGTTGCGACGTCTGCAAAGACAGTGCTTATCATTCGAGCTACCCACATTATCATCGAGAGGGTTTCGAATCCTAAGCACCAACTCAATAAGCGATTTGATTAGGGTACGGTAAGCTATCGTCTCCTTTACGCTACACTTATCTGATGTCTTTCCAGTCAATTTAGGACACTTCATACGTGGTAGTAGGGGATCGAGCTGGCCACGTATGCAGGTATGCTGTTGTTCCAACAAACGAATGCGGGTATACCGATATAACTGGTGCGTCACTAGTTGTTACTGGCACCCTTTTTACGACCCCATGTCTACTGAAGCAAGTTTTCCATTGCGAGACAAACATCCATGACGAGATTACCTTTTGAACTGATTTATTCCGGTGAGAAAACGCGCGTGGAAAATCGAGTGCTAGTGTCTGATTGGTGTAGCGGCCTCAAAATCAGTGCAGACTTAGACGGCAGCGGGTATAGCAACAGTATATTTGTAGGAACTCATGAAACAGTGGCTGGCGCAGTTGGCGCTCAGTCACGGGCGTTAGATCATTGTTATGTCCACACGTAGGATAAGATTTACTGTAACTGCTTCGAAGTGAAGCTCTTGAGACCTTCCACCATCCGACTCTATGAAATCCTTCCTATTGGTTTCCTGAAAATCTAAAAAACAGTGAAAATTTCTATCCTATTTCTTCCTCAACCTAATAGCTCCACTGGCATCTGACTTCATGTTATTAAATAGTGCTTACCACGATAGGGGAGTATATTGAATTTGCGGAAAGATTGGAGCTGCCTCTAAATTCACACTGTCCTCCAAAGTGAACTTAATTGATGCTCTATCCCCTTCGCTCGTGTATATGCTTTCCTCCTTTACAATTACTATTTTCTCAGGAGAAGCAAGTTCATATGAGGGCGAACCCCTTTCGGGTACGATTTCTATGGTCCTTGATGTCGCGATGTCAAACAATGGTCGATACATGTTTGTGGCAGATCGTGACGAGAAAATCAGAGTCTCGCGATATCCAGAGGTTTGTTGTTGCGCCATCACGCGATATTGATGCTAGATTCAAGACTCCATAGATTGACATTTCATTCAAACAGCAAAAGAAAAACTGTCTTTAGCAAAATGAATGATGTACTGACTGAAGGCTGTCTTCATGATTGCACATAGCTTGTGTCAAGACGATTGGGACCAGTTTACCTCTCCTTGAGGGTATTTTAGGTTACAGAATAAGAGGGGAAGGGATGGGATCAGTAATACTATGAGACTGTGGAGTGATAGCGGGACGTCGCAGGTAGTGAGGGTGAAGAGGAACTGTGATAGCTTAATATTGAACATCACGCCTTCGAAAATTAGGGTCCCTTTAGTTGCCGTATTCCATACCTAGTTATATAAACTGTTTCGGGTGCACGCAATCTAGACTGAGGAGGAGAGACGGTTAGATCTTGCAGGGGCGAATGGTGGATTGGCGAAGAGAGATACATTTTCAATTTCTTTCCGAGTCTGTATCTATCTTGAATAACCCGAACAGTCGAGGAATTAGAGGTTATAAACTTGAGCAGGGACAAGGTCAGGTACAATTTCTGAAGTTACTCCCTGCATACTTCCCCTTCTGAACTTACGCTGGGTGGGCTTGTTAATTATTTCTGTACAGTCAGAAATAGAGACTTGGAACGACTCAGCCATATACTGTTTGATGATCTCAAGCTGTGATTGAACACCTGAAACTTGACAGCTATTTTTGATTTAGGCTTACGTCATACAGTCCTTCTGTCTCGGGCACTCCGCTTACGTCAGTTCAATTGCAGTTGATGGCGATCACCTTTTTTCAAGTGGTCAGTGGCGGTAGTGAACTTTCTGGTGAATGCGGTCAAACGAAATCGTTCGATTGGTTCCAGGTGGAGACGGTTTTGTGCATGAATGGGATGTGGAAAGTGGGACGTCTCTCGCACAGTCTCAAAAACTGGGTGAAGAGCCTATTCGACGGATTCGCGTCTGCAAAAAGGTGAGCTGAATTTCCATGAGGTTTTAGATGATGTTTGCAATTATTCCAATCATTTCAATAATTCCAATTTTTATTTTACCACAGTGAAAGTGCGAGTTGATCATGCAGGTTTCAATTATACAATTTCTCCTACATTTTTTTTCAACCAAGTCGTTTTACTTTAATATGGTGCTGTCACGAAACCTATGAAATAAATTTGGGACAGCCTTTCAAAACTTCATACTAGTTTTATTCCGAGAAATAAATCGAAAGGCTCAAATATATCAAAAGCTTTTCAAATTTATCGTAGAAAGTTTGGATTTCAAACTTTTGCTGCATATTGAAATCAAATTAGTTAGTGTCGTGATCACTGCAAGAGCTCAATTAGCTGATTCTTAGGACAACAAGGTGTGCTTGGCTGCAATCACACGGACGGCTTTGACGCTACTCGACGAAAAGTTGACAATTATGAAGAGTTTCAACACTGCTGATTCATTAATGGATATCACTCCATTCAAAGGTCACATAATTGGTGTTTGCAGGTATGTTGAAGACCCACGAAAATTGCTACGATGTCACTTCTTTCTATTTTCATATTATCCTTTTTGTTGAGTCACAGTTCCAGTCCGTTTTCACAAATAACAATTGCTTATTTCTTGTCTAACCAGGAAATGCTCTCAACTTCCCATGGAACTATGAAGGAAGACTGGGATGAATTAATGGAGTAATGAATGCTAGTTGCAAATATTGAGACAAAACTGCTACGTGAACATTCCAAGCAAATCGTGGGCGGTCAAAGTTGACAGGAAGGGTAGCGTCAGTATAGAGGCGATCTTCAACGGCAAGGCGTAGCGTTCAGCATATGAGGCGAGCTAATCACCGCATCGCGTTTTGGTTTTTCTTGACAACAGTATCGAAAGAGTAATACAGGGCGGCCTGCGCATTGATATGAGTATTTCTGAGCAGGAGGCGATCATGGGCGCCAGTTTGGTGACGCAACCCACTTTTTTACTACATTTCTTGCCAACTTTGACCGCTCACAACTTGCCTAGGAAAGGTCGCATAGCAGTTTTGGTCTACATATTTTGTGAAAATATTCAGTAATCTACCGATTTGCCTGGGTATCCATCCAGAGTTCCATGGGAAGTTGAAAGCATACCCTTGTGAGTGAAGTTAATTGCATGCTTCCGCTCTTGATTTCCGATTCCTCGTCACACTTTCTTACTATTAAGTTGCCTACGTAGAATGTTCTATATATCATTGGAGGACAAAGGAAAATAAAACTTTTTTTACCAAAACAGATGGGTTCGTACAGGAAACCGATGTCGAATTTTTTGAAGATGAATCCTTCAAAAAGGGGTTTGCCAGTGAAGGGGTTGCGCCACCTCTCACTGGTACTAGTCTCTTCCTTATTTGCCACTTCTTTTGTTGAACTTATTATTTCGATCAATTCGTGCAAGAATGATACTAGGGGAAGTTAAATCATTAAAAGTTGGTCTGTGAATTGATAGATTTCCTGCGCAACAAAATGTCGACATAGTAAAGGAAAAAAGAAAGGTTATGGTTTGTCTGTTCCCTACAGCGAATAAGGACATTAAAAATTAATTCGACAAAAAAGACTTCCTGGACTCATCCTTGAATACGCCAAAAAGCTGAAAAACCTCTCTTGAAACAAATTTATAATCGCATTTAACCCTTTGACGACCGCCGTTATGAATGCGTCACTTCACTTCTTTCTAAATTTTTTCATCAATAATCATTAACTCTCCAACAATTTCACTATTAGTAATTAGCGCATTATTCCGCGAATTCGATAATGTATTTGTGTAGTTTTGAAACATAAAAAATGCCAAAATAAACTCCTAAAAACGTGTCGCCACCGAGCGAAAGTGTGGCCCACCGGCGGGCCACACGGTCGTCAAAGGGTTAACTTGTATTTCACCTGTATACATTGTCACGCTGTTTGTGCACAGCACCATCAACCATATTAGTCACCACCTCAATCTTCTAAATCTGAAGATTTCAAAAGATAAGAATTCCTCTCTAGGTAAACCCATTCATAATTCCTTTCGAAGAATTGTTCAGCAGATTTTGAAAGCGCCGTCTTTGGAGCGTTCTCAAGTCGTGTACAGCGCGTCTTTCTTGCAAGTTATGCCGGACTGCGGGACCATCCCTTTTTTTTTTTTTTTTTTTTTTTTTTTTTTTTTTTTTTTTTTTTTTTTTTTTTTTTTTTTTTTTTTTTTTTTTTTTTTTTTTTTTTTTTTTATACTGTGTTATCGTAGGTGCTGATTTAGGCGATTTTTTGCAATACTTTCTCATTCTGAATTTTTTTTTGTTCCTTACCTCTTTAGTTCTTCCATGAACTTAGTCGATTGCAAAGTGCAGTTGGGGACTTTAAAGCGGCTTATGAACGTAAAGTTTTTCGCGCTCTCCTATAATTGAAAATTATTCATGCAACTCGTAAAGAAAGCTTTAAAGCTTTTTTCGCAAGTTTGATTAGATTCCTGAACAATTGCTATGTGAATTTGTGTAAAACCTTCAAAGAGGCACCTCTTTTTACACGTATTTAACTTTGTTAGAGAACAGATCCTTTTTCGAATCGGACATCAGACCTTCCTGTTTTGTAGATTTATCAAAGAATACTAGTCTTCACGCAAGATTTCTGTGTTTGTAAACAGGGCCGAGCAGACATTTTTTCAGTAATGGTGTGGTTTTGTTCGACCTTTCCGATGGAACTTCCCGTTCCGTTGAAGTACCGAATGAGCTGCTGGAGAGGTTGTCGAAATCTAAGGATCCCATATCGAGCTACTTTAAGAACGTAACGCATCAAAACATGCTGGATTACTATAAACGAAAGGTGATTTGGAATGGTCCAACTCTGTAGTATTTTCGTAATTTTACTCCGTTTTTGAATTTTAGGCAGAGAAGATCGAAAGTACCAAAGGAGAATCAAATTCGCAAGCGGAAAGCGAGGCAATCACGTAAAGCTGCCGCAAAGTTGAAGAAAATCGCGAGTGAAGCGGAAGTGATCGCGGCTTCTTGACGGCCGTCTGACAGCCGTCTTTAATAGTATTACTTCTTGTTGTTGCTGTTGATGTTTTGTTCGAATCTTTTGGATTCCTTGTTTTTAGCAAAATTATGAGTTCGAGAGTATCTTTAACGCTATAAATGTTGAACATTCTCATTTTGTCCTACGACTCCATTTCCTCAAACTGAAGCTTATGATACATCAACCATACTGAATCGACCGACCACCATTGTGCCACCTCACGTGCGATACGAGAGAAACAGTTTCGCGAACGCGGAAGGACAGGCGACGATGCGGTTGGAGACTGCGCTCCTTGCAGGGACATGGGACAATGTGGTGCGGGGGCAGAGCATGTAAAGGCAAGAGGCAGCGGACGCGAGAGAGCATGCCACGGGTATCTCTGGCCAGCCCTCGGTCTCCGTGTTTCATGAGCCCTCTGCGAGATGTTGAAAGGCTTGACACTCCATGTAAGGTGTGCTCTATCGTGGTTCGATTCCCTCCCGTCACTTCGCTTTTCATTCTCACGAGCCCTATACACCCGTGTTTCGGGCACGAGCTAAGTGCTAAGTATCAGGTGAGCCAAGCTTGGATGGTCCTTGGTGCCAAATCATCAAACTATCTTTACAGAACCATTTGAGCCTCTTGTTCATCCAGAGTTAGTCTCACCCACCTCGCATTCTCGCGGAAGAGAAGGCAGCTGGCTGTTGCTCACTGAGAGGTAAGTTGTCTCGCAAGAAAAACTGCAAAATGTGAAGTATTTTCCCGCCTTCTCCAACCTATATCGGGAAATTTTGCTTGCTCCCAGGTTCGGTATCTGTTCTGATTGAAGTTGACTGAACATTACAAACTACTGCTATTTCCTAGAGGTAGGGTCAACCCCACCGTTGGTACTTTTCGGAAATTTTAAACTCTCCTTTTTGG